CCCCAGCCCCGGCGGCAGCAGCGGGCGCTCCGGCCGGCCCCGATCCCGCGCAGCGCCGCTGTCGCTGTATCCGTCCCCGGGGCTCGGCGATCCGCCGGCTCCATCCCGCCGACAGCCCGGCAGGAACATCTCCCCCGACTGCCAGCATGATCAAGGTAAGCGGAGCGGGTTTCCTGCACGAATTCACTCGTGCATCCTTCCGGCGATGCGGAGCAGCAGAGGGGATTTTCCTTGGCAAATCGGTAGGTCGCCGATTTGTGTTTACAGATTTTAGTGCTCCGATTTATTGTGCTTTGAGAAGGGGATTTCTGTCCCCTACGGATTTGTTGTTTGAAAGTCAGAGGCAGATTGTGTGTGATTTTATCTCTTTCCCTGCTCTTTCATTGCAGACAGCATGTGTGGAAAAGAAGTAATTCCGTGGAAAAGAAATAATGAGGGGGGATGGAGAGGGGGGAAGGGAAGGTGTATGATTTCCTTTGGCTTGAATTTCTTGTCTATGGGACTCTGAATTATTTTAAAAACCCCAAACAAAACGAACAAAAAACCAACAAACCAAAAGCCTGCAAAGGTTATGGTCCTCTGTCAGACATCAAGCCTTTTTATGCCTGTGAGTTTGTTAAAGCTCTTATGTGTGCCCTTGTACTAAAATAGACTGTGGGTAAAATCCAATAACGTGCTTTCGAGGTTTTGAGTAATTTCAGAAATAACTTTAAATCATGGAAGAGGAGTTGTCGGTAGCAAACACTATTGTGTCAGATGAGCATCTGTGGACACTGTCCTTTTATAAATGTCATGTTTATGTTCTTCAGCTTAGTGACCTGATCTGGGGATTAAAAAGAAGTCTTCCTGGTCAAGGCAAAGGGCATGGAGTTATCACGGGTGCTTTTCAGTTACACCGAGGGAACATCACAGCCACAGCAGCAGCTGCACTAATGCTTGGGTTTTGAGGAAGGTCTGTGCTGGGCTGACTGGGAACTGCACAGCTGCAGTCTGATGCCTAAGTTAACAGCTGAGGAAAACTGCGGCTGAGTTCTTTGCTTTCCTTGGGTCACTTGCAGATGGAGTATAGGCACAGCAGGTATGTGACAGGCAGGTGTCTCCCCAGCTCCTCTCTGCTGCTGATAGCAAGTGTTCCTCACATCCGGCAGTGCTGTCCCCTGGGTGCCTCTGGCAGTGGTGCAGTTGCTACTCATGGTGGCAGGGCTAGCATGGAGGAGCCTTGGGTTGCTGTCATAGCCCCGGTTTGACCTCCCTGCAGCTGGAGAGTGGCAGACCAGCCATGGTAAAAAACTGGTCTGAAACTACTCAGGGAAAATACCCAGGAGCTCTCCCAGCCACAATACTCAGACAGAATGGAGCTTCTCAAGGAAGGGGCCGACTGTCGTGTTTTATATCACTTCTGATGTACCTGTTGTGTGGCAGGAAAAGGGGCAGGGCTCTGGTTTCCAGTGTGTCCTCCAGCACCTGATAGGAATGCTCTGGCATGGCCTCACAAAAAAAGTGAGGAACAGGAAAACTACAGACCTACCAACCTGTATGCTGAAAGTAGCACTGACATCTTGTTGGGTTCTTCTCACCTGCACAAACCTGACCTTCGCTTTGTCTTTTTTACTGTAGAAGACATGGAAGGAAGCAATAGCTACAGCAGTAAAAGGACACTCTTGTCTCTTGGAAGTGATGTGGCCTTGGGCAAGTCAGTGCTGTCTGAGCCCTTTACCCTTTATTTGCCTCATCTGTTCAGACTGTCAGACCTTCAGTGTTCTGGCTGTCACTGTGTGTTTGCAGAGAATTCATCATAGGTACAGAAAATTATGATTTGATTATCACCATACTTGCGTAAAACCCGATACATTTATAAATAACCTAATCAACAGCATTATTCCACCTCCTTGTCCTTTCATCTCTCTCTTCATGATTTCCTGTGTTTAGTCACAACCCTCCATTTTTCCTTGAACTATTTCCAGCTCAACCACAGCTCTCCCTTTCTGTCCTGTTTAAAGTAATGTATAAGAAATGAACTACGCCTCCAGTTTCTGCAGTCTCTGCCTTGTCCACCTAATGCACTGATTGTTACTGACAGGCCTAGCACTTCTGTGTGATCCAGTGGATATGCTGATTTTTTTCCCTTGGAAATTGAGCACTGAAATATGCTGCAAGGCCATAGATAAAAGAGAAGATTGCAAAGTCATAAGGTAGCTTTAACACAACTGGTATCTTGTTAAAATAGGCCGTATCCTTTGTTTAATTAGATAGATGAAAATAATTCAGATGGATTTAATTAGTCATTAATTTATCCCTGGGAGGATAATGTTAGGAAAGGAGTTAAATCAGTTAATTAACTGTGTAAACACTCAGGTGCTTTGCATTTATTCAGGCATTTTAAAACAAATTAGGAGATGTGGGCATGGTAAAGAATTGGAACAGACACTTTCATAGCTTCCCTGTGTTATGCCATTTTCTTAAATGAATAATCATAGCTGAATATATAATGTGGAAAATTACCAGTAGGTTTGAGGCTAGGACCTTCAGGGTCAAAATGAGGGAGCCAAGCAGTAAATTCTCTCTGTGTAAAATTTGCACAATCAGCCTTCTTAGGCCACAGATGTGAGGACTGGCACGTTCATGTTGCCACAGTGACACATCATGTTCTTCGCACTGCTGGATAAGCTCAGCAGGCAGCTCTATGAGTGCAAGGCACTCAGTACTGATTGTGGCTTGTGATAATGAATTGTGGCTACCCACTTGCAATGATAGCTGTACTGGAGAGGTTAAATGCCCAAACTTCATCTTAAAAGTCTGACTTCAGGTGGTAGTTGAGCATAAATCAAAGTAGTATGTGATCCCAATATGTTATGTTCATAGTTACTTCCACATTTGCACTTCGATGCCTCCCATTCTAACGTAGGATGAAGTGAATGTGTGGCCCCATTTACCTTGGAAACAACCTCATTATTTTATGGCTTTATACATTAAAGGTCTAGGTAAAATTATATCATAAAATAAAGCACCTGTTGCAGAAGGGCAATTTAGGAAGTATTACCATATGCTGTTGCCGAGGAAAATCCAGTATTATGCTTATGGAAAGCCCCCTTTGGTGTGTACATCAGAGGATCCAAAATTTAACATGAGAACAGTTGAAACTATCTTGAAAAATTACCAATAAGTTACATCCATCTAGTTTATTACTAGTTTTGCAAACTAATATAATAATACCATTCCAACAGAGTTACTCATTTACTTCTGCCCATGAGGTCTGTGGTGTATTCTGAGTTTTATCTTAGAGTATACCTGAAGTATTAATGAAGGGCAACATATAGCTTCTCAGCAGGTACACAGCTACTGCTAATTTATTTTGCCTATTGGAGGATGTCACACACAATATTGATAAAAACTTTCCTAGTAAGCACAGAAAACTGTTTTTGCTGGTATACAAATAGGGTTTAATTCCAGAAGGTTCTGATTGGAATGATTTCCACTAGGATTCAGATACGTCACTGCCACACAAATCATGTCCTCTTGTTTAATTTCATTTAGAACGTTGTGTTAAGAGTCACCACTTCTGTAAAAAATGTTTGAATTTGCATTACTCTTACTGAGAATGCAGTTTTTTAAATCTTTGGCACTGAGAATTTGAAAGAACAGAGTGTGTTCAGTCTGGAGAAGGATCTGGAATGCTGTACTAGCAGCTTTCCACAATCTAGAGGAAAATGATGGAGATGGGGCCAGGCTCAGCAGTGCTCTATGGCCAGAGGACAAGAGACAATGACATTAACTTAAACAAAAAAGGTTCAGATGGGGTATAAGGAAAAAACTCTCTCCACAAGCACAGCTGGGAAGTGGGTTACCAAGAGAGACTGTGCAGTCTCTACCCACAGGAGCTCTCAAGACTCAGCCTGGATCAAGCCTTAGAAACCTGGTCTGAGTTCAGAGCCCACTCTGCTTTGAGAAGGAGGTTGAATTAAAGACATTCTGAGGTCCCTTTCAACCTGGATTTTCCTGTGGTCCTGAGAAAAACCTTATAAACTAAGTTTTTTTAAATCCAGTCTTAGTTTTTGACACACCCAGTGGTGTGGACTAGCACATATTTTTCCAGAGCCCTGAATGCTTGGCTTTTAACAGCACAAAGAAGACTGTGTAAAGGTGGTGTTTAAAGCCACCACTGTAGGCAGATTTCTTTGCAGAAGGTATATTCTTTAACATGTCATTTTATTATCTTGAGGAAGTGCATGTGCTTAACAGAGGAGGTTAAGCTGGAAAACTATAAAGCACTGAAAAAAAAGAGATATTTTTGATTTTCAGTAATGTGAGCTTGAAATTGCTGCATCTGAAATTCAATCTGTAAGGCTACCCCATGAAATTTCAGATTCTACTCTTATAAAATGATACAATTGCTTATCTTCATACAATTAATAAAAAATTATATGAGTATGGAAAAGAAACTTCAAGTGTTAATATTTACTATGAAGTTATTATCAACATAACTGGTGGGCCAGTTGCTAAGTAAATTTCCTACCAGATGCAGGTTTTACTTCCCTGATTTTAAAGTTTGGAGAAAACTGGTGAAGAGGCAAGTTTTTGATCCTGGATGAAGAAAAGTATAAGTATTTTTTTACTAGGCTCTCTAGTTTATAGTTCATTTGTTGTAAACTATCTTAATAAATTTATAGTTCAGAGTACCATAATTATTTTTTGAGAACAGAACATGAAGATTTATTATCAAATTATCAGCATCACAATCCTTCTGAATTCTGCCCTGTGGCAATTCCTGCTTAAAATTTGACAAATCCTTTCCTAATTACTAGAAAGTATTGCCTGAAATGTAGAGGGTAAAAGCTAGAAAACATGAATAAGCATGAAGTAATAGTGTTAGCACGGGGTGTTGCTACATGTAGTGGATACACAGGCACAGTTTTGCCACAGTTGTACAGCTGCATGTGTACATGCATGCAGAAAAAGACCCATAACTGTATTCACACGCTCATGTATTTGAGGCATTAATCCATCATGAGTATGTAATCTGTATTTTTAATATTATCCTTTATCTTTCAGCAGTTTTTCAGAGACCATTTTTGGCATTTACAGTTTGATTCTCTTCTTGACACCTGAAGATAGAAGTTCTGTAACAGCATCCCTTTCTGGTTGCTCACTAAGCTGC